GTTCTGAAACAAGCCTGCAGCCGTATTCAGGTTGACGTCAATGAGGAGAACAACTTGTACATAGCTCTGCACCCAGACGAGATCACACCCGAGACAACACACCTTGAGATCGAGCCCTTCACCCTGCTAGGACGGGTGGATTGCAGCCTTGTAATCTGCTGTGCACTCGTGTGGCCTTGTGCCCGGCTTGCGTGGCCCTACCATGGGCTCAGTGGATGGATTCCTGTGCATCTTGGATTTGCACAATACCCCGAAACCGCTGCACCGTTCTTTTGTAACTTCAAGCGCGGACTGAAGAGGGAACTGTAGTAAGGCGAGCATTTCTTGCAGCGCATGTGGGGCAATTGCATGTGATGAGACCCTGCAGGCGTGGTGTCAGGCCTCATCCCTTATCCGAATCACAACCAGTCTCCGCGCAACACCTACGAATGCGCAATGGGATGCCTGGCTGTGATGCAGAGGGTTTAGCGGTTTCCCCGGCACGTGGAATCAATCACAACGTGCTTAACAGCCTACACCCGAAAAGATGCACAAAGTAAAGCTGCGCCCACCCAGGAAAGCAAGCAATGGGCTGCATCGCGATGAACCAGTTCACCCGCTCTGACGCCTTGGCTAACAGCTACGCTACAATGCCCCGCCTGCTTGTCCGACCGGATTTCCCACAAACATGCCGATTGGCAACAAAGGACACGCTGCTCCTTGGCCTCGTGTATCCCGAGAAGCCGCTGTGTACCAGCAAGACATTGAACCTCCCTGGCACAGAGACTTCAGTGGAGGCTTCCAATAGGCCTCGAAGGTGCAGCTCAGAGTTTTGTGAAGACCTTTGCAGATTCCAAGGAATTTGGTGAACTTCCATCACCTTGGAGCGGGTCAGAATGCTTCCGTGGCAGTCATGAGCAGCTGGCTTCAAGCGCTTGTAAAGGGGTTTCCCTTATCCTGCCAGAGAGATCCAGAGAGCTTGCTTTGTGTTATAGCAGAATTTCCAAGTTTCCAGGGCAACAACTTGTCAAGATGAACGCGTCAGCCGTCCCTACCACTTACGCATGTCAAAATGCAGCTGGCAAGCCATCATCATGCTGTGACTTTTGCAGAAGGGCGTCAGGCTACGGGGCTTCACCGTGAACCGTGAAACCGTGCGAACCATGCGGCCTCGGACGGTGACTTGCGAGTTTTCACTGTAATCTGTTCAGCTCCAGGTTCAGAAGCAGGAAGCGTCAAGCAGCACAAGCCAACGTAGTGGCAGCGTTGTGCGGTTTGTCTGTCAGTGGCTTGTCAGGCTATAGCGGCTATGACATCGAAGATGCGATCATCATGAACCGAGCAGCTTTGGACCGTGGTTTTGGGAGGCAGTGGGCTGGTAGGTTAGGAGGCTGCGCTAGGTGGTAGGACCAACCCCATGCCGCAGGTGTTTCGTGATGCGCCGCCAAGGAGTCCGGGCCTTTCCAGCATTCCTTCATGTGCAGAATGGTCCTGGACAGACCAGGCAATTACGGAGTATAGGTGCACCTGGCGCAGCATGCAAATTTGGGGATCTTTAACTATGAATAACTTATGCCTAATTTTATTGGACCCTAAAGTTGCCTAAAAGCAGCACGTACACTGGGCTATTCGGAGCCTTAGGTCCAGATGGCAGCGCACGCGAACGGAACAACTGACTTGCTGGCTCCGCCGCAGTCCAGCCATGGCAAGGCCAGTCCTGAAATGTGCTGCGTATAGAGGTTAGACATAGGGGATAATACAGGGATAATGGAAAAGTAAATGGAAACCACTATTTAGGGTTTAGTGTTTGATTATATAGGGATAATGGAAAAGAAAATGGACACCACTATTTAGGGTTTAGGGTTTGTTCTCTATGAAGTAGTGCCCATTGAGTATCTCCGAGGGGTTTGGTCACTTGCAGACACGAGTGCTGCGTGACGGGGCGTCTTTGGGAAACCCGCAAACGAGCAGAGCCCAGATGCAAGAAGGGTTTGGGGGTCCAATAACGGAGACTCAAAGGGAAAAGAACATGGGGCAATGAAATGGAATCTGGGATTCTGTAGTGTTTTTTCAGGACTAGAGTCGCAGAAAGTTAGGGGTACACTTTTCGGGGTTCCTATAACAAGGATTATAGTGTATTTTGGGGTCTACATTGGCGTCCCCCTACTTGAGGAAACTACCACTTAAAGATATCTGGGTGTCTATAGCTGTCTAGCTGCTTCTGTTTGCAGTGTGAGTTGATGTTAGCGAAGCTTTACATGTGTTGCCAGCTTCCACGAGGTCGGCCAACGCAAAGGCAACTTGGATGTGAGGGTCTGCATCATGTTGTAGATTTCAACCCCTAGACCCTAAATCCTAAGCCTTCAGGTAGCTTGTAGCCATTGACTGAGCAGTTGCCATGGAGCGAAGTAGCTGCCAGCCACAAGGAGAAATTCTTGGTTCTGCATGGTCAAACAAAATAGGGCGTATGTCGTGTTCCGTGCTTGCGGGACAGACCCTGAAGTGAGCGTTAAAGTTGAAGAAAGGTTGTGCAGGGATGATAGTCATATGGAATTGTGTGGGCTGAAGGCAAGAACGCGAAGCTGGCTTCTTTGGATGAGGACGGCATGGTGAGGCCCTCTGAGAAGGTCGAGGATGGTTTCCTGCTGGCCAACAAGACTCTTGAACTGCCCCAGTTGGACGTACTTACGATCATGGGCTTTTACAGAGCGTTTTCTGCCACTCCCAGCTCCCTCGACGGGTTTATCAATAGCTGCTCAGGCTAGAGCTACTTCAGCTTCATATTGTCAAAGCAAGAAGGTCGAGGTCGATGATTGGTACACGTAGGCCGTATCCCTCATCTATTACGACCTTGGCAGATAGGCTGTTGGATGCATTTGTGCCTGCGCTGAAGTTGAGGATCAGCCCTGTCGAGACCAAAGCGCTGCAAGACTTGTCCACAGTGGACGTCAAGTACAAAGCCACCCCAGTGAACTACAAAAACCCTGTCTCCTCTTACATCGTTTGGGGCCCAGTTTTGTCTGCAGGTTGCTGGTGTTTTGCCTGGTAGTAACTGTTCAAGTCTGCTGTGGACAGTGCCGAGGATCGGGTCCTGCTGACAACGGATGCAGAGGGTATGAAAGTCTACAAGATCATCACGCGCCAAACTCGCCGGCCTGAGGTTGGTGGCACACCTGAAAACACAATCCCTTTACATGTCTTTGCATGTCCCGCGTGAGTAAAAGAACTGGCATAGTTGGCACGTGCTTCCACCTTCCAACTCCGTATGGCAAAGCGTCTCACCACATGACCTGGATGTATTGCTCCGGCATTTGTTACAAGCTTTGACAACTCCAAGTCCACCTTGGCCAAGGTGACAAATTTGCTTCCCGGCACGGCCAGAAGGGCGTCATCGGCTTGATCGTGCCAGAGCAAGATTTGCCATTCTCGGAAACCGGCTGGCGGCCAGATCTTATCATGAATCCGTACCGCAGTTGCAAGTTGGCGTCAGCCCAACCCCTTTTGCAGCATCAAGTAGATCTCTCGGAAGGTATGATCAGTTGTAGTCGCAACCTGTAGCCATGCATGAGATCACTATCGATGCAGGCATGGCTTCCCCTCTCGGATGACGGTAGGGAAGATGTTGGAGTGCATCGGGTCGAAGGCCATCCATGCTGGACGTAAGACGTAAGTCTATCAGCTACATAAGCAATTCTTGCAGTGCGGACTCTATTTGTGCCGGAGTGGCCGGAGTGGGCTTCAGTCAGCAAGCCACAGTCGTGGGTGGAGGCCGCTGTTCTAGATGGCATCTTTGCCAACGGTTCAGCCTTTGGCGGGACTCCCGCTCATGAAATCTACAGGACGCAGCTGCTCACCGTTTTGTTCCTTCAATTCAAATCTAGTGACTGCGGCTTGCAGATGCAGGACTCTCATCAGCCATGGCTTCGCGCCAAGTGGTAAGGAATACTTAACCAGCGGCATCACGGGGGAGCCGATTGAATCCTACATATTCTGAAGCTTGGCCTCGAGCAAGGTTAACTGTGAGTGCAAGTGGCATCACTGCGTGGTTGAGGTTTGGAGCTGACCACAACTTGTGGTTGCATGTAGTTGTCGCGTTGCAGACGACGCGCAGCAGAGGTGGCCCAATCTATTACCAGAAGCTCAAGCACATGGTGGTGGCTTGAGTCTCAGGTGGATCAACAGGTCTTGACCGTCAAGCGGCTTGCACTGTGGCCGCTGCATTGCGAAGCGACGCCAAGGACAAGATGCATGCCCGCGCGCGTGGGCCACGAATGCTTCTCACTCGGCAGCCCACAGAAGGCCGTGCAAAGGAAGGGGGTCTGCGACTAGGAGTGCCCAAGCAGCATGCTTTGCATTTTCTGAGAATGGGTGCCTCTGCGCATCCACATGTTTCTGCCGCGTTTAAGGAGATGGAACGAGATTGCTTGGTGGCCTATGGTGCATCCAACCTACTCCTGGAGCGTCTGATGTTGTCCAGCGATGTTTGCAATCCAAATGTTTGCAGAACCCTGACTGCAGCAGCCAAGTTTAGCACCAACAGAGTCACAGGGCATGAAGATGCACAAGCACATGCTTGCTGCCTACCAGGGAAATGTGGCCTCTTCTGTCGGCCTGACTGGTGCAAGCTCTGCAGCAGTGCCGAGTGGGTCACCAACATCCGTTTGCCTTATGCTTGCAAACTGCTCTTTCAAGAGATGCAAGCTATGAATGAGCCTTGGTTTGAACAGCGCCCTTCTGGATTGCCTCACACGCTCTCTCAAAAAACGTTTGATTTCTGCTCCGTTATTATGAGGTATCAACGCCTTTTCCAGTTTTGGCAGCCTGACTCTTGAGGTGACCTGCAAGCTGGGCCTTGCTGAGCGGTAAGGCTGCATCCCATGCGACAAGCCGGGGAAAAGATTGAAGCCCTTCGTATGCCTGTTTTGTAGGCAACGTGCCGTTACATCAGTGCAGTCTCCCGCCAGCGGCAGATCAGAAACAAGTCCATTGTTCAGCATTTACATGGGCTGTGATTTTGGCAGGAGTCGGGGATCACTGTCACTGACTTTCTGGACACAATCCCGAAGCCCAAGGATAGTAGCTGCACTGCTCGCTGTGAAGGCAGTAGTGAGTAGGCACAGCAATAATTCATCCAAAGGAGCCAAGTGGGATCCCGAAAAGCAAGCCTTGCACAACTGTCAAGGTGACGTCTGGGACGCTCTGAGTGCGAATCCATTTTTAAAGTAACTACCGGGAAGTTTCCAGAAAGACGAGTCCCTTCTTGCGCACGGAAGCAATTCCCCTCTGCATTTTGAAATTCCATGCTAGCAGGAATTTAACAAGCACATGGACGACTTCCTCGGCACAATCTCGAAGCAAAAGGCTGGATCACACTAGTAATGACATGGCCTGCCAGAAATGTGTAAGAACAGTTCAAGCGTAGACGATAGTATCATGCCGTCATACCTTCATCCTCCCAAGCCCAGGCTGCTCAGCGTCGACAGGAGGACCAGAGATGCTAATGCCTCCCATCCTTCCTCCTATCATCATGCATGAGTCAAATTCTGGAGCTGCCAGAGTATCCTAATGATTCTTGCCAAAGCGTTTGCTTGTGTCGCCCGCATCATGCCATGGCTGCTATATCAGCGGTCTCACAACTCTAGCATCGTGGACAGAACGCCTGTTGAAGTGCGTAGCCCAACCAGCATTGGACTTGCAGGATCTGGATCGTCGTAAGTACGCTGCAAAAGTCAAAGCGTTCGAGGGCCAGCTTGGGCAGTCCGCATCAGCACCTGAGCTCGCCACGGTCTTACGGCTTTGTACCCTGAGGCTAAATTTGGACTATGTATAGGTGATTTCAGGTTTTGTTCCTTAGGATTCTGTAGGTGGCTTCAAAGGTTGTTAGATGGGGGGTTCAGGATGGGCCGGCATAGACAACATCTTATGAGGAGTTGTAGGTGGGGTATGCAGCTGCTGCACTGGGACTGGAAAGGTTGCTGTGTCAGCGTAGGGATTGTGTCTACAAGTAAACGGGGTGTCTGCTGGCACATCCATGTATCCTGATATGCGTAGCCATGCTTCGAAGCTTTTGGCTCAAGAAGGATGGCGCAGGCCAGCATGGTGCGAACCCGTCAAAGTAGATGCCTGGCGGCTATAGCTGCCCTGGTATACGGATTGTCCTCCTGGCCAGGGCTTCGCGCAACTTGCCTGCGAAGATTTGTCGCTGTTCAAGGTTCTGAGTAGCTGTGATCGATCCCGGTGCCCGCGTCTTTTGCCCATGCAGGCCTTTACTGTAGCTTGGACGGCGCACCGGTGCCGCTCCGCTGTTGCTCTCCATGCAGCAGAAGAAGACAAGTGGTGCCCCGTCTGCAGAACAAAGCATGACAACCCTCTTATTCCCAACTTACCACCAGGGGCCAGACAGCTGTTCAGGTTCGAAAACGCGGGTCACACCGCAAGCGCTTTAGTCTAAGGTCCCAACCATCCCTTAACTGCGCAGGGTTTTGTAGAATATTTGAAGTACATAAAGACCCCAAAATTACTGGCCCAGACGCGCGTGGGTGGAGGAAATCGTGCACCACTTATAGGTATGTTTTGTGGTGCAAGATTTCCTGCATCCATAGTAGGGGCCATAGCTATAACCATTTAGAAGCTCTATGGAGTCTTGCGTTCTCGGGTTAGGGACAGCCGAGCTCGGCCCGCATGCTTGGCAACGCGGTCGCTGGTGGAGTGCAGTCTGCGAATTGCGGGTTGAGGGCGCGCAATTTGTTCCGGTTCTACAAAATCCATCAGCTGGTTGCAACCCCATGTTTGGCCACCAATTTTGAGAGGTTCCGGGGAACCTGGAAGATCTATGGTAGTCATGATCTGGTCCTGACTGGGACTACTTGGCAGTGTAAGGGTTGTTCGAAGAAGGGCCCGCTTACCCTCAGCTGCAGATGGAGCAAGCCTTGCCTGTAAGTCGGTCCGGGCCTCTGTTCTGCATTGCCGCTCTTTTGTTAGGAAAAAAGGTCTCGGATTAAGATCAAGACTTGATGGGTAGGGATTTGCCACTCAGGACTTAAAACTTGGGATCCCGAGTCCTCGTCAGGGAGTAGGGTGGTTGAGTTAGAGCTTCCACGGATTCAAGCCCGATTATTCCTGGTTGAGGTTACACCTTTGCACTGCGTTCCTGGTTCCTGGCTACATCAATATGACAATGATACAGTCCTGGGGGAGCAGAGCTTGTAGCAATCAGCCCGTGTCTGCCCAAGCATGCAAATGCATCCCAAAATGAGGGGTACCTTTTAGGAGTCCCAATTTTCCGGGTTATTGTATTTTGGGGTTTGTATTGGGGTCCCCCTACTTAGGGAAACTACCATAAGTTAATATGAACTCGACCCTGTATAATCCTTATGTCGTCTCCATAGAATATATTCCCTTATTCCCTACTAACCCGCCCAGCAAGCTAGATTCTTTGGCCTCCTAGGCTGCCTCCAAAGATTGCTCTTGAGGACCTGGAGGCCAATCAGATCCTATGCAGGGCCCGGAGTTTGGGGTTGAAAAGGTTTTGCCGGTAAGGCTTCGGCTTCCTCAGCAGCTGGGTAAGTACATTACACGTTTTAGGCTTCACCAATCCTATTTGAACAAAACATCACAGAACACGTGTAGACTTTTTCTTGCTCAAAAAAGATTGAGCAATTGTTTAGAGGGCTTCGCCATATGTACCTTCTCAAGGCTTGCCCATATTATCAAGGACAGTTGATGGAGAAGTATGGGGGTCGTGTGTTCATGTCGGGACGCGTGCACGTAATGAACGTATCTTGGGGTTTTGTATACATACGTTTTGCGTAAGGTAAGCGGTTGGTTGTCTGTGGCTGCAGGGGGCCGACATGAGTAGAGCACGTTTGCAGGTGGGCGATGAAACCTAGAAGTCTACACAAAGAATTCGGGGGAATGCCGGCAGGTCGGCATGGAGCTTGAAGCAGTCAGGGGGAAATATGGCAGAAACGGCGCCTCACCTGACATTCAGCATGCGCTCCATCCGCTTGTCCTGCCTAGATCTGCTGTTTGAGTGTTTGAGATGAGGTGTGTTCATGAACGTGGGCGCTCCGCGAGATGCGTTCTTGCATACTTCTGAGTGGCGGGATGGTTTCCCTGAAGAGCAGCCATTCGTACTCAATGAGAAGGCTTCTTGGCTACACCCTTCCAATGTGGACTCGACTCTTTAGGCAAAGTCAGGGTCCTGCAACCTCAAATTGGCAGATGTGCTTGTCAAGCCCAAGCAGAAACAGTGCGACTGACTTCGGGCTCTCAAAGAGCCAGAGACCCACTTCCCGTGCTCCCGGAGAGCACGAAGAACGCTAAATTATAGGAGAAGCTTCACAACGTCTGAGTTTCAGTCTGGGCGGAACCATGAAACCGAAACATTAAACTCTCGGCTCGTGATAGCAGTTGTATAGTCATACCGGATCGACGCCTTGCAATGCTTCATTTTATGGCTGTGCAAATGACAAAGGTTTCAGCTAAGGTTCCCGTGCGCATACTGAACATTGATGAGGAAGGCAAACTCTTCCTGACCTGCCGCTCAGGCGTGGTGGGCCAAGCCTAGCGAGGTGTCCCAAGAATTTAACTCAATTTTTAGGAGTCCGTGACAAGTGATGATGATAATTCCTACACTGCAGTATCTTGGGTTTGTATGAATGGCGGCCCGTAGGCGAAAATCACACCCGAGGTGTCTGAATAGCTTGCACAAGTGGGACCCATTTCCGCACTCAAAGTATTAGAATTGGCACCACCCAAAGGGAACATAATTTTGAGAATGCACACTACATAACCGGATTTGCGTTGAGCTTTCAACTGCTACATGCTGCCGATGGGTCGTGTTTCCTGCTACTACCTGCACGTCACATGCCGAATTTCTTGAATCTCCAGTCTTCTCGTAGAAGGACTTACAAAGTCAGCACGCTTTGCAGCTCTAGCGCAGCCGATTTTGAGAATGACATGTTTCGCAGAAAGCAGAAGCTCCGTCCGCGCGAAGGACCGCTGGAAAGACCGCCACTGTTCTTGAGGCCTGAGATTCAGGAGCCGGGGACATGTACCAAGTATTTGCCAGCCTTTGATTGGGAACCTGGTTTCCCTACTACGTTTAGGTGTTAGGGAAATCAGCAGAGGCTATCATTGCTGCACTAGAAGCGTGCCCGACAGAAACTTACTTTTTCCCCCGAATATTAAAGGACGCCCACCCCTCCCGCTCATGTATGTAATCCGAACCGTATTTAATATTAGGCGGGGGGGTGTATTTATCGTCAACCTGAAGGGGGGATAATATGATGGGTCCCTACTGAAATCTAAGGTAAATGCGTTAGAATTTGAAACAAGCAAGAATAACGAAACGATTAAATCGAATCAACATCGTAATAAAATCCACTGCAATCAAGATACGAGCCATGAAAATCAGTTAACATCTAATGAACAATCTTAATAACGCCAACTTGAAATCAATTCAAACACGTAATCAACACCATAAATCTATTTAAATCTACTCGACATCTAATTATCGACGAAAATACACTGAAATTTACATGAAATCTTATTACTAATTAGAAGCGATGTAAAATCGCTTTAAACCAAACTAAAATCGCTTCAGATTCTATTAAAAAACTCAAAAAAACTTTCTAAAACCACCACAGTCTGGAAAATCAAGGATATCCCTAATCCTAAAGCGTCGTGCAAGGGACCCCGAGCAGTAATTAACTTTAGCCTTGGCATGTCTTGGCCCTTTTAAATGTAGTCTTGCGGGCGGATCTCAGAATTTGGAATTCCGTGGAACCTGTATTTATAGATTGGGAGGGGATTTAATATTAAGGGGAAGTGATTAGTTCAAAGTTCAACGCCGTTTCTAGGATGGGGTCAAAAAGAGACTTCATGCATCGCGAGCCAGCTGGGACGGTAAAACAACCCCGCGCCTCTTCGCTTAGAATTGGTGGGCCCCTTAAGTTTTATCCCTTTCATAAAAAGTATTTACCGATAACCGGAGGAAAATTACCGATAAGGACCATTCCTTTATAAGTAGTTCGGCCAGAGAATTTTTCCATCCCCGGTGATGATTTTAAGCGATAACGCTACCGACAACCTACCGATAACACGTTTGAGCACTTGAGACCCCTCGGAAGCCCATGGCCCCCGCCCAGGCTGTACAGGGATGCGGCTTAACTCGCCCGCTCGTAACACTCTACCGCTACCAGCCCAATGCTACAGTTCACTATCGTAGCATGTGCTGAACCTCTTGGATACGTCCCTGAAGAGCAAACCCCCAGTCAGAGGAAGTTTTTCCGATAACATTGTGTTGAGGAAGCCAAGCTTGGGAACGGGGTTTGTTACTGCCCCAGCTGAGACAGGGATTGTACCGCCAGCTCAGCTCCTGCGACTGCTCAGGAGGCTGACATTGAAGCATTTGACAAGCTCAGTGAGACTGACTCCATGGAAGCGGAAGTGATTCGGATTGCGCTGTTTGGCGTGTTCGTCTCTTCGATTTGATTTCAGTCACTTCACACAGCAGGCAGCGTTTGGAGAGTCAGCTGCTGTCGTGACTGTTGGTTCAGCAAACCAAGGTAAAGGTGCAGGCGCCAGGGAGCCAAATGCTGGAAGCCCTGCTTCACAAGAGCAAGATGACAGAAGAGCTCAAAGATGAGGCCGGGTTCCCAATCCAAAGCTGCCATAGGATCAGTAGCACGTATGTTTGTAGAGTCAAACGGCTAGCACGTCATGCACGTTGTTGCATGATCTGGACATGTAGCGACCTTGTTGTCCAAGGTTTATCTTGGCATGAAGGTTCAAGTTCGCCTTTTGAAAGACAGCGACTGGAGAGAGAAGAAGAGGGTTTATGTTGCATCTGCATAGCAGCGGCCAGTATGAGCTGCCATGTCCTGCCTGGAGCTGTTTCCGCACTCGGGCATGCGCAGAAAGGCCGTTGCTGAAACTTGTCTTCAGTTTGCACTGCTATTATGCCTGCGCTAAGTGATCTCTTAGTGACCAGGCGTAGTGCAAGTTCCTGTTTGGAGTTTGGGGTTGCTGGTAACCTAACAAAAGTACTTGTGCTGCCCGTACCAGTGTTTTCCGTATGCTTCGGGTGTAGACACCCCTATGGGCCGTGTTTTTGGTGGTTTTGGTGCGTAGATTTTACTGGGGAGCTAAGCAAGTTGGGGATGACACAGAAAGAACACGAGTAGGAGTAGTGGTAGTAGGAGTGGTAGTAGCAGGAGTAGTGGTAATTGGAGTAGTGGTGGTGGGAGGTGGCTATCTACTCCCCATGAATGCCCAATGCTACCTACTACTACCTCCTCCCTCCCCCCTCCCCCTACCACCGCTACTACTGCTGCTACGACGGGTACTTTCCCTAAATAGGGGGACCCCAATATAGACCCAAATATACTATAATCCTTATTATGGGGACCCCCAGAAAGGTACCCCTAATTTTGGGAAAGCCTAATCCCTATAATCCCC